TTTTCTCCACATCCTCTCCAGCACTTGTCATTTGTTGATTTGTTGATGGTAGCCATTCTGACAGGTGTAAGGTGATACCTCATAGTCATTTTAATTTGCAGCTCTCTGATGATCAGTGGCTTTGAGCATTTTTACATATATCTGTTGGCCATCTGTATGTCCTCTATGGAGAAGTGTCTTTTTAGGTCCTTTGCCCATTTGTTAATTGATTGTTTGTCTTCCTTTTGTTGAGTTGTATGAGTACTTTATATATTTTGGATAATAACCTCTTATCAAATATATCATTGGCAAATATGTTCTTCCCTACAGTAGGTTCCTTTTCATTTTGATGGTGGTTCCTTTTGCTGTGCAGCTTTTTATTTTTATGTAGTCCCATTTGTTTATTTTCTCCTTAGTTTCTTTTGCCCTAGGAGTGATGGCGAACCTATGACACGTGTGTCAGAGGTGACACGCGAACTCATTTTTTTGGTTGATTTTTCTTTGTTAAATGGCATTTAAATATATAAAATAAATATCAAAAATATAAATCTTTGTTTTACTATGGTTGCAAATATCAAAAAATTTCTATATGTGACATGGCACCAGAGTTAAGTTAGGGTTTTTCAAAATGCTGACACGCCGAGCTCAAAAGGTTCGCCATCACTGCCCTAGGAGATGTATCTGTAAACATATGCTATGTGAGATGTCTGAGATTTTACTGCCTATGTTCTCCTTTAAGATTTTTAAAAAATATATTTTATTGATTTTTTTACAGAGAGGAAGGGAGAGGGATAAAGAGTCAGAAACATCGATGAGAGAGAAACACTCATCAGCTGCCTCCTGCACACCTCCTACTGGGGATGTGCCCACAACCATGACACATGCCTCTGACTGGAATCGAACCTGGGACCTTTCAGTCCGCAGGCCGATGCTCTCTATCCACTGAGCCAAACCGGCTAGGGCTCCTCTAAGATTTTTATGGTTTCTTGCCTTACATTTAACTCTTTTATCTACCTTGAGTTTCTTCTTGTGTATGGTATAAATTGGTGGTCTAGTTTCAACTTTTTGCATGTGTCTGTCCAGTTTTCCCAGCACCATTTGTTGCAGAGACTGCCTTTCCTCCATTGTATATTCTTGTCTCCTTTGTCAAATATTAATTGTCTGTAATGGTGTGGGTCAATTTCTGGAGTCTCTATTATGATCCATTGGTCTATGCCTGTTCTTGTGCCAATACCAGGCTGTTTTGGTTATAATGGCTTTGTAGTATAGTTTGATAGTATATGTCTTTTGATATGGGTAGTGGTTACAGGGATATTTGCCTAATGTTATATAAATTATTTTATGCAATTTTCTGCATTTGTGTTACATTTAACAAAAATGTTTTAAAAAAAATATGACCAGTGCCCTAGCTGGTTTGGCTCAGGGGATAGAGCGATGGCCTGTGGACTGAAGGGGCCCGGGTTCAATTCTGGTCAACGGCACATGCCCGGGTTGCAGGCTCAATCCCCTTTCTCTCTGAAATCAATAAAAATATATTTAAAAATATGGCCAGTTGTATCAGTTATCTATTGCCCTGATAATGCTGCATACGCTCAGTGGCATAAAACACTAAACATTTATTTTTGGTGCCCCGTTTACAGATTGGCTGGGGTTCTGTTGCTCTGTGCTGTGCTGATCTGGGAGGGGCTCACGAATGTGGGTGTAGTAAGCTCAGGGGTGGGCTGGGGGCTGGCTGTGCTGCTTGCTCTGCTCTACCTGGCTTTTCATCTTCCAGAAGGCTGGCCCTGGCTTATTCTCATGGCTGAGGCAGGGATCCTAGAGACAGTGGATGGCATTGAACATGTCACTTCCCCCTTATCCTATTGGCCAAAGCAAGTCACAAGGCCAGCCCAGGTTCTGGAAGTGGGGAAATGGACTCCATCTCTTTTTTTCTTTTAATATATTTTTATTGACTTTAGAGAGAGAGGAAGAGAGAGAGAGAGAGAGAGAGAGAGAGAGAGAGAGAGAGAGATCGTAGTGAGAAACATCTAATTTCAGAAGCAATGACTGGTTGCCTCCCATATGCACCCCCACCAGGGATTGAACCCGCAACCTGGGTATATGTCCTGACCAGGAATGGAACCGGTGACCTTTTTGGTGCACGGTAGGATGCTCAACCAACTGAGCCACTCCACCGCTTGATGCGGGAAGGAATATAGTCACATTCAAGGGCATGGGTGGGGGAAGGTTGGGGGATTTTGCAATCAGTCTCCAACACTGAAGTGCCTTCTTCCTTTGGAAGGCAAACTATCCAGACTGTTGGATACAGACACACCCTTCTCTTGATGTCAAATTACTGAAAAAACAACAAACAAAACAAAACAAAACCGAATAAGATGGGTCATGGGTGTCATTCAGATGAAGAATCCGTTCCTTGAAGCAGGACTGGCAGTGACTGAATGTTGGTGGTACTGTTTTGTATGTGGAATAAACGGGACGTGCAAATGCTTTGACTTGTCTCTGCCTCTCCAGGTCCTCAAATTTCCTTCCAAATGAGATGGAACAAGGCTAAGTAAGATAAGTAAGATCCAACAGGGGAGGGGCGAATCTTCCTTAATTTTGGAAGTATCCTAAGACAGTTGCACATTTCTACTACTACTACTACTACTACTACTACTACTACCACCACCACTACTGCTGCTACTGCTACTACTACCCTGAAAAATAACAAGTCTATATCAGCCAATTTCTGCCAATCCTCCTTCCCCACATTGTCTAGCAGGTAGTAGGCATGGGCCTTTGGAAATGAGCAAAATAATAGGAACTGAAGAAGTAAGAACAGAGAAAAATAACAAGTGGAATACAGCAGCAAATGAAGGAGTCATTTTATTAGAACATCAGCCAAGAGATCTGCTTATTCCTTTAATTCAGTCAACAGATACCATAGATTGAATAAATACCTATAAATTCAAGTTTCACTATATTGAATTTCTGTGTCATAAGGAATAACTATCATCAAAGAACTAATGGACATTAAAACAAAATCCTATTATAAAATACTTTTAAAATTGAGATTAAAAACAGACATCAACACCAGCCCATGATTCCTTCTAAGACCACTCTTGAAGTTCAGAGGCAGAGTCCTTGCTGCCTTGAACAGCCTGCTGAGAGCAGAACTCAACTTAAAAGCAAAGCTGGGAAGATGTGCTTTCCCATCTTGGATGGGAAAAACTCATTTTTTTAAAAAAATCAATGACTGCATACAAACTGAAGGCAGGCAGTTGAGTCCCATGGATTCCCCTTTGATATGCTTCCTGGTCTAAAGGATGCCTCACCCATGGCAGAGTCTTGGCACTGTCAACATACAAATCCATTGGTCATCACAGGAACAGAGCTGGCTGGATTATTAAACAGGGATGACCAAAGTTCCCTGATTTGCCATCATAAGGGAAGAGTCCCTACCCAAATCAGTAGGCCCTGCTCTATGACTTTGCCTCGCAGGCTGCTAAGGTTTAACTTAGAGTAGAGTAGCAGCAAGGAAGATGGCGAAGGCCATCTTAGATTATTAGAGCCCACAGGGAAGGAAAAGTTATTCTGGTCAAAACTCCTCACTTTACAGTTAAAGGAAGCAGAGCCCCAAAGGACTAAGGTAGAAGGCATTCCACACCAAGGGGCAACTTCTAATTTTTTTCTCTTTTAGCCAAGCTTTAAATCTTTAAGGCCAAAACTTACTGCATTTAGCACAATGGCAATAGTACATAAAGTAACCTGAATGATTACTCAAAAAAATAAGTAAAATTAAAAGGCTACAATGCACAGAAGTCAGACTGCCTGGGTTCAGATTTTGGTTATACCACTTACTCAAGCAAGTCATTTCACCTCTCTGTGCTTCAATGTCCTTACTGGTAAAATGAGAATGATAACAGAATCTGATCAGAAGGTTGTATTAATAAGTGCAAAGCATTTATAACAGAAGTTGACATGTAACAGGTACTCAGTAAATGTTAGTTTTCAGTATTATCTAGAAGAAGAAAGCCCATTTCATAGAGGGTCAAACTGAAGTCCAGAGATGGGTAGACTTGCTTAGCATCACAGAAAATTGGTGTTTCCTGATCTTCCTTGGACCCAGGTCCAAGGTTTAACACAGGAAGGGCTCAGGGATTGGGAAACACGGTGGATCAGGACTCCTGTTTGAAGCCCTGCTATGAACTGAATAAGGTCTGTGCCTGGCCTCCTAAGATGGGACCAATGTCAACACCCTGCTTTTACATCCTGTAGTTACCTAAGATGCTGTTACTTATGTATATGTGAAGGTTACACAGGAAGCCTCTGTGCTATTTTTTTCCACATCTTGTGTTAAGTTAAACTCATTTAAAATAAAAGGACAAATATTTATTGGACACCTACTGTGCCAGGCCTTGCTTGTTCTAGGAGTGAGGATTCAGCAGAGAGCAAGACAAAACCCCACCCTGGAGGTGTCACAGCAAATAGAGTTCTTCCTCTTCACTGGGACTCCGGAGTCCCATAGCTCCCGTTTGAATCCTGGCTCTGCCACCTGCTAGCTGTGGGCACCTGTGTCGCACTTAGCACTATATAAATGTAAGATCTGTTACTGTTATTCTACAGGTTCTCAGGTGTCCTCCTTCTAGGGAGCGATGTCTGATGGCCCCAGACTAGTCCTAGCACCTCCTCTGGGATCCTACAGGGCCCAGAGCTTCCCTCCCCGTCTCTCCGACCCTCTGCCTGCGCCTCCCGCCGCAGGCCTGACCACAGCGGCCGGTCAGTTTGGTGATGGCCGTGTCTCCTGCACTGGACCGGGAGCCTGACTGCTGGGCCAGGGCTTTCCCAGTCGAGGCTCTGTCCCCGGAGGCACCAGCACAGGCAGGCGCTCAGGAAGCACAGACTGGACACGCGAATGGGACCAGCAGCGCGGGGACTGGGCAGGCGTCCTTACCGTGGCGGCTGGGGGTTGGGGGTGGGAACCATGACCGGAACCTAAAGGCCCGCCTGTCCCCGGCCCCGAGCGGTAGAACCTCAGGGCGATGGAACCCGGTGTAACAGAGCCCCTTGTGCTCGCGCCCCTAGAACCCGGTCCGGGTTCGATCCCGGTCAGGCCCTCGAACCAGACTCCGGCCCCATCCTCGGCCCCAACCCGGACCTCGATTCCGGTCCCGGCCTCGACTGCAGTCCGAACCCCGACTCTGGTCCGGACTCCGATTCCGTTCCAGGCCGTGAGCCCGGTCCGGACCTCGACTCGGTTCCCTGCCTCGGTCCCGGTCCAGTTTCCGACTCCAGGCTCGGCCTCGACCCCGGTCCAGTTTCCGACTCCAGTCTCGGCCTCGACCCCGGTCCAGACACCAACTCGGGTCCCTGCTCCGGCCCCGGTCCGGACCTCGACTCGGTTCCCTGCCTCGGTCCCGGTCCAGTTTCCGACTCCAGGCTCGGCCTCGACCCCGGTCCAGTTTCCGACTCCAGTCTCGGCCTCGACCCCGGTCCAGACACCAACTCGGGTCCCTGCTCCGGCCCCGGTCCGGACCTCGACTCGGTTCCCTGCCTCGGTCCCGGTCCAGTTTCCGACTCCAGGCTCGGCCTCGACCCCGGTCCAGTTTCCGACTCCAGTCTCGGCCTCGACCCCGGTCCAGACACCAACTCGGGTCCCTGCTCCGGCCCCGGTCCGGACCTCGACTCGGTTCCCTGCCTCGGTCCCGGTCCAGTTTCCGACTCCAGGCTCGGCCTCGACCCCGGTCCAGTTTCCGACTCCAGTCTCGGCCTCGACCCCGGTCCAGACACCAACTCGGGTCCCTGCTCCGGCCCCGGTCCGGACCTCGACTCGGTTCCCTGCCTCGGTCCCGGTCCAGTTTCCGACTCCAGGCTCGGCCTCGACCCCGGTCCAGTTTCCGACTCCAGTCTCGGCCTCGACCCCGGTCCAGACACCAACTCGGGTCCCTGCTCCGGCCCCGGTCCGGACCTCGACTCGGTTCCCTGCCTCGGTCCCGGTCCAGTTTCCGACTCCAGGCTCGGCCTCGACCCCGGTCCAGTTTCCGACTCCAGTCTCGGCCTCGACCCCGGTCCAGACACCAACTCGGGTCCCTGCTCCGGCCCCGGTCCGGACCTCGACTCGGTTCCCTGCCTCGGTCCCGGTCCAGTTTCCGACTCCAGGCTCGGCCTCGACCCCGGCGTCACCGATGAGCCCGGGCGCCCCCGGGAGCTCCCTCCTGCTCTCCATCGGTCGGCCTCCGATTTATCGGGGCCCACTCGCAGCTCCTCGCCAACGGCAGATCCCGCGGCCGCCAAGCTGACCGATCCCATGGCCGGACCCATCTCCATGCCTATCCTGGGGCCCGCCCCGTTCGCCACTTTCTTACCTATTTCTACCAACACATTCGCCTCCACCAGCGAGTACTTTCAAGTGGACAAAAGGATTGTGATTCGAGTGACCTACTGGTGAGGGGCTGTCCCACCCACACCCGCCTTCCTCCCGGGGGAGAGGGTGGGACGGGTCAGTGCTGGGGCTTTGGGGATTGAAAGTAGGGCAAGGGGAGGGAGTCCCAGTTCCCAGGTGGGAAGCTTGGCTCCCCTATCAACTCTTTGGGGCTAGAGAGCACTGGGTTCAGATTCCTGCTCTGTCCCACAGAGGTGGGTCCTGGCTCCAAGCTTCATTCATGGACTCAGTTTTCTCCGTCCTTCCCCTCCTTCCTCCTTCCCTCCATCCTGCCCTTCCTTCCTAACTTATTTTGGAGTGTCCTGCCCACCATGGGCCAGGCCTGAGCTGGGGATGGAGTGCTGAGCAGAGCCACCTGCTTTCCTCCCAGGGGAGACAGGACAAGGTGTGCCCTGAGGGACAAGGGGTGGGGAATTTCAGATTGGGTGGCCAGGGACAGTCTTTCTCAAGAGATGGCACTTGCGATGCATCTTCTTAGTGATGAGAAGGAGGCTGCCAAGTGGAGAGCTGGGGGTCGGGACGATGAAGGTAGGGAGGAGGAGGAAAGCAGCAAGTGCAAAGCCAGAGGAGGCTGGCCCCAGGTCTGGAGTGTCTATTGTGTCAAGGACAACAGTAACAGCAGTGACTTCCTTGACCTTCCTGTGACCCAGGACTGGTTGCCTCCGTGGGAGGGGCTTTTTCTTCCATTCAATCCCCATACCTCTCTTCTGCTCTAGAGGTTCTCTCCCCTTATGGCTCCCACTTTTTCTCTCTTCTGTCTCTGCCAGGGGCTCTCTCTCTCCCCAGCTCACTATCTCTTCTCCTTTCCCCATGTTGTATGTGTGTATTTCTCTTTCTCTTTCTCCCTATCTGTTTCCTCATCTCCCCCTGTCTCTTTCTCTTCCCATCTCCTCCTTTCTATATCTTTCTCTGACTCCATGGATTCATTATTTCATTCATTCAACAACCATTTATTAAGCACCTCCCATGTGCCAGACCCATTAGGGATACACAGTGAATAAAACGGAGATTCTTGTCCTTGTGGTGCTAACATTTTGATGTGGAATAAGTATGACTCAGAGCAAATTATTTAATAACTTAGAAGGTGATCAGTGCTATGAACAAAAAGCATCTGGTGGGGGGAGGTCACAATTTTAACTGGGGTGGTCAGGAAGGCATCACTGAGAAGGTGACATATGAGCAAAGACCTGAAGGAGGGGAGAGAAGGAACCATGTAGATACGAGAAACTGCATTCTGTAGAAGGAACAGCCAGCGCAAAGGCTCTGCGCAAGGCATGCCTGGAGCAGGAAGGAAGGCTAGGAGGTCCCTGTGGCTGGGCAGAGTGGGCGAGGGGAGAGAGGGAGGAGACGGGGCAGAGAGACATGGGAGCAGTTCCTGTGGGACTTGGGGATGTGGTTTTCTGCCCTGAATGGGATGGCCTATGGGACAGTTCTGAGCTGGGGAAGGCTGTGATCTGACTTAGGTGTTCACAGGGTCCCTCTGGACTTGGGAGAGACTGATGTGGTGTCTTCTGTCTCTCTCTCTGCCTCTCTTTTTTTGCCCTTGGCCTTCAGTGGCCTCTGAAGCTATAACCTCCGGGTGAGTAGTTTTTGGCTTTGGAAGTGGGGAGAATATGGGACATGAAGTCTGGAAGGAGTTCCTGTTTCCCATTTCTGAAAGACCTGTGACCCTGTGACAGCATGATTTCATCTCCTTCCTGCAGTACATTCTACTGAAAAAGAGTCTGGAGCAACAATTTCCAAATTGTCTACACTTTGTGAGTGTGCTGGTTACCAGGGGAGTGGGGGTAGCCAGTGCTGCAAGAGCCCTAGGGGCTTGGAAGGAGCTCTCAGCCTTCCCCCACCCTCAACATTCCCTCCTCAGGAGGAGGACATATCTGAACAGGCTACCGGGGAGTTTGAAGTGTTTGTGGATGGGAAACTGGTTCATTCAAAGAAGGTGATTCTGAGTAAGGGTCCCAGACAGGGCAGGAGGGTGGTGGTGGGGTCCTGGATTGTGGGAGACACACATGTCTGTGCTCTTTCCCCTCTGTGTCCAGAAAGGTGATGGCTTTGTGGATGAGGTCAAAATGCAGAAAATTGTGAACATTATCGAGGAGGAGATCAGGACAAATTAACAGGCAACTGGTGAGCTGGAGGTGAGGTGAGGGAGGTGAGGTGGGAGGGGTGGAAGCTGGACTGAGGGTGAGTAGGTGGGCAGGACAAAGACAGCCCACCCCAATCCTAGCTCAGCCAGTCCTCACTGTTATAATCAGGCATCCTTTCTAAGCCTCATTTTTTTTTTTTTTTTTTACAGAGAGGAAGGGAGAGGGATAGAGAGTTAGAAACATCGATCAGCTGCCTCCTGCACACCCCCCTACTGGGGATGTGCCCGCAACCAAGGTACATGCCCTTGACTGGAATCGAACCTGGGACCTTTCAGTCTGCAGGCCGACGCTCTATCCACTGAGCCAAAGTGGTCAGGGCTAAGCCTCATTTTTTAAATCTGTGAAATGGGGCTGTTGAGATGATTCCGTGAGATGCCTCATATGAGATAATAAATAGTGCACAGCTCAGAGTAGGGCTCAGTGTATGTCACTTATAAATTTACTAGAGGCCCAGTGCATGAAATTCATGCATGGGTAGGGTCCCTAGGCCTGGCCAGCAATCAGGGCCAATTGGGGCCTTCTGGCTGCTGGCTGGGGCCTTCCTTTGTTCCGTGCCACCCCCTGGTGGTCAGTGCACATCATAGTGAGCGGCTGAACTCCCAGCTCCTGGTCAAACTCCTGAGGGGACAATTTGCATATTAGGCTTTATATATATATATAATTATTATTATTATTTTAAATCTGCTTGAAGAAGTAATCACAGAAAACTTCCCTAACTTGGGGAAAGAAAAAGGTCACACAAGTTCAAGAAGCACAGAGAGTCCCAACCAAATGAACCCAATGAGATCCACACCAAGACACATAATAATTAAAATGTCCAAGGTTGCTGGGGCCAAGGTTACCAGTTCTATTCCCAGTCAGGGCAAATGCCCAAGTTGAGGTCTCAATCCCCAATAGTAGGCATGCAGGAGACAGCTGATCGATATTTTCCTCTCACATCAATGTTTCTTCCTTCCTATTTGTTCCTCTCTCTAAAAATCAGTAAAAAATATTTTTCTGGCCAGGGCTTTCTAGTACATGGCCCGGTGATGTACAGAAGATTCAGTTGTTTGTTTTCTAACTCGCTCAATTCCATATTCATTTTTAAAATATATTTTTCTATCGATTCAGAGAGGAAGGAAGAGGGAGCAAGAAATAGAAACATCAATGATAAGAGAGAATCACTGATGGGCTGCCTCCTGCACACCCCTACTGGGGATCAAGCCCAAAACCTGGGCATGTGACCTGACCGGGAATCAAATCATGACCTCCTGATACATAGGCCGACACTCAACCACTGAGCATCACCGGCCAGGCTCCATTAATTTTTAGAGAGAGTGTAAGGGAGGGTGGGGGAGAGAGAGAGAGAGAGAACATCAATGTGAGAGATACACATCAATTGGCTGCCTCTTGCATGTCCCCTGACCAGGGCCAGGGATCAAACCTTCAACCTAGATATGTGCCCTTGACTGGGAATCATACCCATGACCCTTCAGTGAACTGGCTGATGCTCTAACTACTGAGTACACCAGCTAGGGCCCATAATATTAAAGAGATAATATTAAAGGCAACAAGAGAGAAACAGTTAGTTAGCTACAAGGGAGCTCCCATAAAGCTGTCAGCAGATTTCTCAACAAAAAAACTTCAGGCCAGAAAGGATTGGCATGAAGTATTCAAAGTAATGAAAAGCAAGAACCTGCAACCAAGACGGCTCTATCCAGCAAGGCTATCATTTAAAATTGAAGGTGAAATAAAAAGCTTCCCAGACAAAAGAAGGCCAAATTAGTTCAGTACCACCAAACCAGAACTGCAAGAAAGGCTAAAGGGACTGCTTTAAGAAGAAGAAACACGGAGAGAAAGGAACATAAGCATAAAGGGAAAAAAGCAATAAATACCTATCAATAATAAACTTAAATGTAAATGGATTAAATGCTCTACTCAAAAGACATAGGGTAGTTGAATGGATAAGGAACCATAATCCACATATAGGATATCTATAAGAGACCCACCTCAGAACAAAAGATTCACACAGGATGAAAGTGAAGGGATGGAAAAAAATATTCCATGCAAATGGAAATGAAAGAAAAGTGGGAGTAGCAATACTTACTTTGGACAAAACAGACTTGAAAACAAAGTCCATAAAGGAGACAAAGAAGGTACCTACATGATACTAACGGGATCAATCTAACCAGAGTATATAACCCTTATAAAATTATATGCACTCCACATAGAAACATCTATATCTATATATATAAAAGCCTAAGCAACTGAACGACCTAATGACTGGTTGCTATGATGCACACTGACTACCTGGGGACAGACACTCAATGCACATGATTGGGTTCACTCCTGTCTGGATCGGGCCTGGGGCCACTGGGATCCCCCCTCTCTGGATCGGGCCTGCGGGGATGGGGCCGAAACCAGCTATCCAACATCCCCCAAGGGGTCCCGAATTGTGAGAGGGTGCAGGCCAGGCCGAGGGACCCTACCGGTGCACGAATCACTGGGCCTCTAGTGTATATATAAAAAAACTCTTGGTGGACTTAAGTGAGAGATTTCACTGTCATCAATGGATAGATCTTCTAGACAAAAAAATCAACAAGGAAACAGTAACCTTAGATGACACACTAGATCAAATGGATTTAATTGATGTTTACAGGACATGTTATCTCAAAGCACCAAAATATACATTCTTCTCAAGTGCACAAGGAACATTCTCAAAGATAGACCACATGTTAGGACACAGAATAAGTGTAAACAAATCCAAGAAGATTGAAATCATATCAAGCATCTTCTCGGATCACAATGGCAGGAAACTAGAAATCAACCATAATAAAAAAACTCGAAAACATTCAAACAACATGGAGGCTAAGTAGCATGTTATTAGCAATGAATGGGTTACCAATGAGATCGAAGAAATAAAAAATTACCTGGAAACAAATGAAAATGAGTGCACAACAAACCCAAATCTATGGGACACAGTGAAAGCAGTCCCAAGAGGGAAATTCATAGCATTACAGGCCTACCTCAAGAAGCAAGAAAAAGCTGAAGTAAACAATATAATCCTACACCTAAAAGAATTAGAAAAAGAACAACAGGAAAAGCCCAGAGTAAATAGAAGGAAGGAAATAATAAGGATCAGAGCAGAAATAAATGATATAGAGACTAAAAAAAACAAAAACAAAAGATAAATGAAACCAAGAGCTGGTTTTTTGAAAGGTTAAACAAAATTGAAGAACCTTTAACCAGACTCAAGAAATAAAGAAAGAGGACCCAAATAAACAAAATCAGAAATGAAAGAGGCAAAGTAACAACTGACATCACAGAAATACAAAGGATTGTAAGAAAATATTACAAACAATTATACACCTACACATACGACAGTCTGGGTGAAATGGACAAATTCCTAGAAACATACAATCCTCTAAAACTCAATCAGGAAGAATCATAAAACCTGAATAGACCAATGACACTAATGAAATAGAAACAGTAATAAAAAAAACTCCCAGCAAACTAAAGTCCAGGACTGGATAGCTTCACAGGCTATTTTAACCAAACATTCATGTGTTAGAAGAACTAACACATATCTTTTTCAAACTATTCCAAAAAATTCAAGAAAGAAGACTTCCAAGCTCTTTTTATGAGGCCAACACTATCCTAATTCCAAAACCAGATAAAGACACTACAAAGAAAGAAAAATTACAGGCCAGTATCCCTGATGAACATAGATACTAAAATCCTCAATACAATATTGGCAAATCAGATCCAGCAATACATTAAAGAGATCATGCACCGCCCTAATTGGTTTGGCTTAGTGGATAGAGCGTCGGCCTGCAGACTAGAAGGTCCCAGGTTGGATTCTGGTCAAGGGCATGTACCTTGGTTGCGGGCACATCCCCAATAGGAGGTGATCGATGGCAGCTGATAGATGTTTCTAACTCTTTATCCCTCCCTGTAAAAAATCAATAAAATATATTTAAAAAAAAAAGAAAGGATCATGCACCATGATCAAGTGGGCTTTATTCTGGGGATGCAAGGCTGATATAATATTTTCAAATCAATAAATGTGATACATCACATAAAATGAAAGATAAAAATCACAAGATCATATCAATAGATGAAGAAAAAGCATTTGAAAAAATTCAGCACCAATTTATGATAAAAACTCTCACTAAAATGGGAATACTAGTAAAGGTCTTACATGACAAACTACAGCCAACATCATACTTAATGGGCAAAAACTAAAAGTATTTCTCTTAAGATCAGGAACAAGACAGGGATACCTGCTTTCACCACTCTTACTTAACATAGTGCTGGAAATTTGAGACACAGTGATCAATAAAGAAGAAGAAATAAAATGGACAGGAGGAAGTTAAACTGTCTTTATTTGCAGATGACATGATATTGTATATAGAAAACTCGAAAGACTCCACTAGGTATAATAATGAATTTGTCAAAGTAGCAGGATACAAAATTAATTTTCTGATACTGATGGCATTTCTATACACCAATAATGAATGATCAGAAAGAGAAACTAAGAAAAAAAATCCCATTTACTATTTAAAAAAATCTTTATTGTTAAGAATATATATCTTGACTCCACTGTATGTTGTTTCCTCATTTGTCAAATATTACTCAAAGTCCTTAGTTTACATTAGGCTTATTCTAGGTGTTGAACAGCTTATGGGTTTGCATAAATGTATAATGACAGGTAACCACAGTTCTAGTACCATATGGGTAGTTTTACTGCCCTAAAAATCCTCTGTGCTTTTCCTATTCATTTTCCTCTCCCCCATAACCTCTGAAAATCACTGGTATTTTTGTTGTCTCCATAGTTGCAGTTTCCCATTATGTGGGCTAGAAAAATAATAATAATTTTCTTCTCATTTCTAAGTCATTTTACTTGGGCAAATAAAATAATATAAAGAGATTAACAGGAGAAAATAAAATTTTAGTACATGTGCACAGGGAATTCATATAAGCATGAGTTA